TAAACTTTGAAATCTTAGCTAAGTGATATAAAGGATTAATTGCGCATATATAATCCTTTAGGCATAAACCATTGACCAAGTCTGGGACTAGGTCTGGATGCAGCCGCACCTAGACTCCTCTCTGAGAAGGAGTTTAGAAAGCAAGGGGGTCCTTTCTGAACCTCATGACTCAACGGGAGGGTCTCCCTGACAGTTTTGTCTGACGCTGTCCTCTATGCAGTAAAGAATCAAGTGTACCTTGCCATCGAATCTTGTTCACTGTCGCGTTTACCATTGAACTTTGTTAATTCACACTTTAACTCACTGTTTTCTATCAATAAAGTGTATTGTTGCTTCTCTCTTATGAATGAAGTGCAGTCTTGTTCCATCCGTGACAGTACATAATGCATATTTCTCTAACATTTGCTTGATTCATTTTGTGAGAAAAAACTGAAAGTTCTTGGGTCAGTTTTGCATATCTGCTCTAATACCATTACTGATAATAAATAATGATATAATACAATGTAATTCTAATATAATAATATACTGATAATAATTTTTTTAACAATAGAAATGAAAAAAATAAAATGCAAGTCGTCAAGAATTTTTCCTCCAGGAATTCTCCATTGTGCTCAGAGAACCGCAAGTCTTACTTACCATCACTTCATCATTGTCTACGTATTGACACTAGCAGAGAATATGGTCATCATTATAACAATCCGTATTAGCTACTGCCCCCATACCCCTATGTATTTCTTCTTGAACAATCTCTCCTTTCTGGACATGTGGTATATTACAGTTATTGTTCCTAAAATGCTTAGCAGCTTATTGACAGGATGCAAGATCAGCTCTTTTGCAGGGTGCATGGCCCAAATCTACTTTTCCATTGCATTGGCCTGCACTGAATGTCTGCTTCTGGCTGTCATGGCTTATGACTGCTTTGAGGCTATTTGCAGCTCCTTGCTCTATCCAACCATCATGACCTACGAGCTATCTGCTTTCTCTTAGTTGCTGGCTTTTGGATGGGAGGTTTTACCAGTTCCATGCTCAAGGTCATCTTCATCTCACGCTTGAATTTCTGTGACTCAGTCACCAACCGTCTTCTGTGATGTATCACCCCTGCTCAACCTTGCCTGCAAGGATATGTCAATGGCAGAGACAGTGGATTTCATTCTGTCATTGATTATAATTCTCGAACCATTGCTTGTGGTGGTGGCCTCTTACTTCTGCATAGCAGCTACTATAATGTGGATCCCCACAGCTCTGGGGAAGTGGAAAGCTATTTCAACCTGTGCTTCTCACCTGGTAGTTGTTGTCATCCTCTACTCTACTACTCTGTTTACTTATGCCTGGCCTAAGGCCATGGGTTCCTTTGACTCCAACAAGATGGTGTCAGTTCTATATACAGTTGTAATATCTTTCTGCAACCCTGTCATTTACTACCTGAGGAACCAAGATGTCAAAGAAGTACAAAGAAAAATAATAAATGGCAGAAATGTTCTTAACAATAGGAGTTCTGTGTCCTTAAGAGAAAGGATAACATAAACCAAATGTTAATGGCACTTGCAGGAGCCTTCATAACAGACTTTGAGGTTGCCTTAGTATTGGATGCCTAGCAGATAAAGTCTAAATTTAAGGTAATTATTGAGGCTCCTTCTCCAATCAAATCTTCATGGTGATTTCATCATAGAATCATAGAATCATTGAATAGCTTGGGTTGGAAGGGTCCTCTAAAGGTCATCTAGTCCACCCCCCCTGCCGTGGGCAGGGACATCTTCAACTAAATCAGGTTGCTCAGAGCCCCGTCCAACCTGACCTGGAATGTTTCCAGGGATGGGGCATCCACCACCTCTCTGGACAACCTGTGCCAGT